GGTTTATAGGGCTTGTAGAGTTTGTAGGGTTTAAGGGTTTATAGGGTTTAGGGCTTCTAGAGTTTATAGTGTTTAGGGCTCGTCGAGTTTCTAGGGTTTAGGGTTTATAGAGTGTTTAAGGCTTATGGCTTAGAGGGCTTATAGGGTTTAGGGCTTAAGGGTTTAGGGAATACTAAGCAACCACTATAAAAGCCCCGCAAATCACAAGCATCCCGAGTAGCAAGTGGTCAGAAGAGCCTGCCGAACTTGATCAGACGCCTTTGCTCGGCACATCATCCCTGAAGTCATCCCTGCATTGCCAGCAGCCTCAGCATCCAAGATCTCTATCTTGCAAAGCAACAAGACAAAACCTTATGGCCTGAGGGTTTTTTATAATTAAGACTGGTCTTTGTAACAGCAACGGGGCGTCGAAGCCGTAGATTCTGAAGCAAGGCAGAAACAACCGCAGCCTTCGTAGCTCACCTCCACCTTGACGCCCTGTTCTCGGTACACCTGCAGGCGTGGCTTGGGCCTTGGGTTTCGGGGGCATCGTGGCCGTGGTCTTTGGCCTTGATAGTCGTCTCGTAGCAGCACTTGAATGAAAAACACATTTGCATCCTTTCTCTGCCACGACCACAAAAATCAGCAAACCGCAGTGGCTACGATGAAATCGGACAACAATACTCGATTTGTTCTCCGCCTGAAGAGGAGTGCCGGTGGCGACGATGAGGATGATCATGGCGGCGTCATCATCCGCATCATCATCACCGCCGGTATCACTACCGTTCTGCTCGCTATCGCTGTCACCAGCAGCACCATGGTCGGTAACAGCTTCCATGCTTACCATCGCCATCATCACCAAGCATCATCAACGCCATCATCCTCATCGCCACCACGATGATCATGGTCATCATGAACACCAACATCAACATGATCAGCAATACCATCTACTTACTTCAGTATGTTCAAAAGCAGCATCACAAACATCGAAAGTACCGTCACTGCCATCGTCACAACAACTACACACCGGAAAGACACAGCAGTCTCCGCATCGACGAATTTACAGATGTGCTCCGTGTTACAGCTGCCACAAGTACTGGTACTGTCACTGGTACCGGCGCTTGTGACGGCATTGGTACTTGTACAGGGGCTAGCACACTGTGCCGGGAATTTAGAACAATTATTTGAGCAAGATTGCCAAGCAATCTTGCCCCACTTGCCCCTCGCCGACTAGTTTACCTATTCGACCAAGTTTGCAAGATTGCTGGGAATCTTGCCCCCCCCGTTTGCAATCTTGGTCTAAAAGGTAAATTAGTCGGCGAGCAAGTGAACAAGATAACCAAGATTGCCAAGATTACCACGATTACCAAGATTGTTCCACAGATCAAGTGTTCTAAATCCCCGGCACAATGGACTCCAGCACTAGCACCAGTACAAGTGCTAGAGTATATACATCTACCAATACATGCAAGTTATAGTTTACATGTAAACACAACAGACGAAAGGCAGGCACGCACCTGCATACATACCTACAAACATACATACAGACATGCATACACACACTCTCTCTCACACATACATACATACATACATACATACATACATACATACATACATACATACATACATACATACATACATATATATATATATTCTATATACATACATACATACATACATACATATATATATATTCTATATACATACATACATACATACATACATACATACATATATATATATATATATTCATTCTATATACATATATATATATATAATATATGTAGGGTAGGGGCTTTCATAATCAGAGGAGAGTTTTGGGCTCCTTTGTAGAAATCTACTCTTGATGATATAAACCCTTAGCATTACCTTATAAGGACCCTCAACTATGGGAATCATGCTATATATTCCTTATTATGGGAATTATGGTATATTCCTATTATGGGAATTATGGAATATTCTTATTATGGGTAGTGCAGGATTGATATCATCAGCCGTATGTCATATGGAACCCAAAGGAGGCCTCCATAGTACCCACAACCGCGAAAAAAAACGCGTCAGCGGCTAAACCCTAAGCCCCTGAACCCCTATAATCCCTAAACTCTCAAACCTAAATACTAAACCCCTCAAACCTAAACCCTAAACCCTAAACCCTGAACCCTAAACCCTAAACCCTAAGCCCTGAACCCTAAACCCTACACCCTGTTTCGCCCACGAGCCCAGGCCTCGAGGAAGGCAAGGTTCGACTTGGCGCGCTTTCGGCTCTGCGGGATGGGCGCCTGGTTGTTGAGGGATGGGTTTAGGGTTTAGGGGTTTAGGGGTTTAGGGGTTAGGGTTTAGGGGTTTAGGGGGTTTAGGGTTTAGGGGTCTAGGGGTTTAGGGGTTTAGGGTTTATAAGGTTTAGGGAGGGTACCCATAGGCTCCATAGTAGTTCCTTTTTGGGGTTTATATTTAGGACTCTTTAAGGTAATCCCAACTTCTGAATTTGAAGCCCTAAGCCTCAAGCTTACCCTACCTGGACGGGTCTCGTCTGCTTTGATGGGGTTGCTATAAGAGTTCAGGGCTTTAGGGTTTAGGGTTTACAATTTCGGCTTTAGGGTCTTAGGGTTCGAGATGTGGCCTGTACGGTTCAGGGCCTAGGGTTTAGGGTTGATTATTGTTTGGATCTAGTCTGCACCACAGAGTCGCCTCAATAGTTGGAACAGATAGGGTCGCGGGGCATGCGGCGCTCCAAGTATGAGAGGCAGCAGTAGGGAATAGTCAGTATGACTATTTCGGTGTCTATACTAAAGCATGTAGGGCACTCAAGGTTCGGGGTAATTAACCTCCAGCGCCCTTCGAACTAATGCTGACAACTGATTCATCAGGGAGGCGGAGCTCGGATTCTAGTGCAAGCTGCCCTCCGCGCCCAAAACTTCTTCAGGAAATGCTGGGTGAGATGCTCCTTCAAGGAAAAGTAGTCCGTCCTCAGTACCATCAGGATGTCAGCCTGGACCTGTCTGTTTGGGGCTTGGGGATTTGGCAGCGGGTCGGATCTGTGAGGCAATCCCTGCAAAGCGGATGCGCTGTTCCAGGCAAACCTTGGCGAGGGCTCCCGATCCGGCGGTCAAGTCGATCCCAGAGAACCCAATAACCCTTAATTAAGGAACACACCTTAAACCATAATATTAAGGCCCCTGTAATTTAAGGTATCTTCCTTAATTAAGGGGTATTGGGTTCTCTAGGATCACCATGCCCAGCTGCTCAGCCCCTCCGAGCATCTGCAACACTTCGGCCATCAGGTCGTCGTTCTTCTTGTGGAAGAAGACAGGCTCCGAGCCATCCTTATATTGTCAAGGTTGCCTAGTGGACAGCTGAAAGACTTCAAATGAGACCAGTAACCTGAACAAAATAAAACCGAAGAGCAACAAAGCAATAACGCCATCCTGAACCGAAAAAAACCATACCCTAAAGTGCAAGCGCCAAAGCCTAGACACTAAAGCCCTAAACGCTAAAATCCCGTAGCCCTTGAACAACCCAAATAAGCAGCAGGCCACTAAACTCTAGACCTAAAGCCCAAGCCGCCAAACCCATCACAGAACCCTTAAAAGAACCCTTAAAGGAACCTGTATATTGATCCCCTTACAGATCCCGTTGAAGGTACCCATGTACTAGATTTTTTGAAAGAAGAGGAAGGCCCCTAAACCGTAAACCAGTATTGCGATAGGCCGGGGCCCTGTCAGCAATCGAGCAATCGGATCCCAAACCCTACAAACCCTATAAACCCTAAACCCTCTTTAAGGCCTACAAACCCTATTTAAGCTCATTAGAAGCCATATAAGCCCTAAAACCCCTACACCCTTTGGTACCCTTCTAGATCCCTTACAGGAACCCTTCCCTAAACCCTAAACCCTAAACCTTAAGGGGTTCCTTTCAAGGGAACCCTTAAAGATCCCTTTACAGGGGCCCTGACATGTGCCTTTAAGGGGGGATCTATAGGGTTCCTTTAGAGGGATCTATAAGGTTCCTAGGCTTCCTTTAAAGGTAGGGTTTAGGGTTTAGGGTTTAGAGGTTCTACTCTTAGTGTCCCCTTCAGGGAGTTTAGGGTTCAGAGGTTTAGGGCTCTACTCCTCGTGCCCCCTTAACTGGTTCCTTGTTGGGGCGATAGTTAAAAAATGATCATTTGTATTCCTTGCTGGGTGTTTGTTGTAGCAAAAATGTAAAATTGTATCCAACAAGGACCCAGTAGGGTAACTATACTTATAACCTACATTTGGGGAATTATAACTCTACTTCTTCCAAGTAGAGCCTAAATCCTAAACCCCTATAGAACCCTGTTGAGCCTCCGGATCAAAAGAGGACTCATTCGGATTCTCATCATAGCCAGTTGCCATGTATATAATGTTCTGGTAGATGACGGCTCAGCGCAGTCAAAGGGAGGTTCGACACATGGGCTTACACGGCTCTCAAACTTTTCACACAAACAGCGACCTGTGATAAGTGAGCTTATGCTGTACAAGTGGATTCATGCTTAAAGCTCTCCAGTCATGACACGTTGCTGTAGATCGTGCCAAACGGCATGCTGTGAGTGCCTAACGGCTTGCTGTATAATGCCATAGGCGTCATGGGAGTCTCAGACTCCCTCATGTTGGCTCTCACCCTCAGGGCTGGAACCAAAACATACGGCATGAAAGAGAGTGAACCGCTTGCTGTCGGCAAAGGTGCAGTTCAACACTCCTCCTTAGTCGCATCGCTTCTTTGAAGCGGAAGACTATCATCCCATTCCCCTTTGCCGTAGTGTCATCAAACAATAACGACAAAAAGTCCTTCTATGAGTATTAGAAACTGTGCGTAACACATGGCAATCGGGAAAGATATGTAGGACTCCAGGTGTCCTGGCACTACTGGTTATCAGCTCAATTTCACACAACTGTGCATCAGAGAGCCCTTGGGGGCCTTCTGTTTGGACTCCAACATCCCGCGGTCCCTGCGACGCTTGATTCTTAACCCTAGTTGTTTCTCTAGGTGGATACGGTGGTGGCTCGGGAATCGGAGGAGTAGGTGGTCGGACCAAAGTCCAAGTTGGTCGATGTGGAGCGGTCGAAGATGAAGACTGTGAGGATACTCCTGCGGGAGGTTGGGCAGCTACGTGTACATGCAGCTGGGGTGACGAGGCTATTGGTGTGCTGACCGGTGCGGGTAGCTCATCTTCAGCTCGTACCTCCTCGGAGGACCGACGACGTCTCATACCGTCGGCCGCCTCGCGCTCAATCGCCCGACGAATGGCGTCTTGTCGTTTAGATCTCCGATCCTCTTCGTCAGTCGGCCTAACAGCGGCTATTCGTGCTTCGGAGCGTATACACTGCCTCAGGCAGTGTTTGCCTACTTCCCAGACAAACAAAACTGAACATGCCATCATCACCGCAAGCACATAGAGATCCAAGTTCACTGGCTCATGATCATCATCGTCTTGCGACGACGCTGGTTGAAGTTGCAGCATCAACAGCGCTAGTACAAGAATTAAACCCTGTCCTTCTGGGGCGGCTTCAAGGCTTCTGAAATTCCTCGATACTGCTGAAATGGTATGCACGGAGGGGTCTAACTCCTCAGGAACAGTAATCCCGAGCAGAGTATTGAGGTGTTCCAGCCTTGGAGCTGGCAAGGCTTTGGTTAGCGCATCTGCTAGCTGCCACTCCCCCGGGCAGTGCTGCACCTGCAACTGTTGGTTATCAAGTAATTCCTTGAGGAAGTTGGCACGTACACGAAGGTGTCTTGTTCTTTGCGACCCTCCCCCTTCAGCTAGGGTGATGGCGGCAACATTATCAACTCTCAGTAAGACCCTTAATTTCGTACCATATAATTCATCTGCAAGTGCTTGCACGGAATGGGCGAGGACTACGCCTTCGCACGCGGCTATTAATTCACTCTCTGCGGTACTTAGGCTGACAAGACTCTGTCGTCGAGATTTCCAGAAGACGGAGTTACCCCCTAGCTGTACGGTGATCCCGGAAATGGATCGATCCCCAAAGGGTGCAAACGAGGCGTCAGTGAATACCTCGATGCCAGGATCTTCTCCAGGGATGAGATGCAGCCTCAGGGCCTTCGTTTTGGCGAGATATGCTAGGATTCTCAAACCTAAGGTTCCAACATAAGCTGGAGCTTTTGATGCCCAACTAGACATCAACCCGACACAGAAGGCGACATCTATACGCGTTCTTTGCGATAACCACAAAAGCTCCCCGGTTATCTTCTGCGCCTCCCGCAACGTCTCTTCAGCATATCCTACTTCTTCAACAGGTGCATCTCTAACCCATTCTTTAGGCAGGGGAACACATGCTTTGCAGGTAGGTCCAAGGTTGTGGCTTCTCACCAATTCGTCTATATAGCCTTCCTGCCCTAACCGAAAGCCACAAGGACCCTTAGTGTCTTGTACCTCATAGATGTCGACACCTAGGAATCGTAGGGCTTTATGTACCTGGGCTCGTTCTAGTTCGGAACACTGCCACCTACCTCTTACCCAATCGTGCAAAGCCCTTGCGACGGAGGGTTCCGAAAGTATAAGCAAGTCGTCGACATATACTAGTACATGTCCCAGGATAAGCTGGTTCGGCCCCACAATCATCCATAGATTCTCGTCTCCACCGGTCTTCCGCAACGTGGCAGTGCCTTGCGGCGTTGGGAAGGATGCGGTGGTGAGGGTATCGTCTCTGAACCTCGACCACCATTTAGGTGCCTCTTTAAATCCGTAGAGCGCCTTGCAAACCTCCCAGACTTCGTCTGGTTCACATATTCCTAAGAGGATGAGTATGGCGGGTGGTTTTAGGGCATAACGTTTAGTGCTGGACCCCGGTATGGGGGCGAGTAGGAAGGCGTTTTTTATGTCAGTGGACCACGCGGAGTGTCGGGAGCTACCGGCCTTTACCAGGGTGATCCTTAGGGTTTCGGCAGCCGCTCCGGAAGCGTAAAGTACGTCTTCCGATACACCTTTAGCGAAGTTCCCACAGCTGACAATGCGTACCTTTCGGCGAAAGGGTTTCCCGGGTTTGACGGTGAAGACACCCTTTGCGGGTAGCACTTCAATGCTGCGGTCCTGCATTATCTTCCGTGCTGCCGCACCCTTATGCCTTATAATGGCTTGCATCCCTTCTAAGGAATTAAGCTCTTCTAGTGCTGCATCCTTCCATTTATCTGCATGCCTCTTTACCTCGGCCGGTGAAACCTGATGTACTACTTCCAACGGCCCCTTTAGCTCTGCCAGAAGCTCCTCGACATTGGAAGTAAAGGACGCATCTATCACCTTAGCTGCCTGGGGAGCGGGGTCTAATCCCTCCTCACCTACAGCCTTGACAACCGAAGGAAAGTGCACCCCTATCTGTGGCCTGTCTGTTGCCGCGGAAAATACCTCTAACGGAGATACTTGACACGCCTGGGGATTGATTCCCTTTAGTCTTAACTTGGCATTAATTCGATCATCATCTCGTTCAACATCATCTACCTGTACCATACGGATCCGTGGATCCCTGGGATTGGGTGGATCCAAGCCCGGTGGCCTGTCAATTAAAGACCCGGTACGGTCTTGCGACGCACTTGCGGATGCAACATACCGGCTCCAGGGGTTATCACTAGGATCCTGTATAGGAGTGGTAGCTTGAGCCCACGGAGGCTCTTCATAACCTGGCTCTGTTCTCGCGGCTTGCAGCCACGGTGGTGGCTCATAGGGGTCAGAGGCAGCAGTGCTAGGGTCAATCTCATCCGGCGGGGCGACGTGTGGAGAAGTCGGTTGTGAGGTCCACTCATGCTCCCAAGGATCAAAGGTACTCATGTGGGGTGGCTGCGTGGAACTCGACGCGGCTGTGGGTCCTGTGCTAGGAATCCACTCGTCTTCCCAGTACCCATGATAATAGGTGTCTTCAACGTGAGCAACTTCGGGTGGCTCCTCCTCAGGTGTGGCCTCGGGTTGAGGTTGATGCCACGGAGTGCGTGAGCTAGCGGCCTGACCGCCTTCAGTGCGCACTCCTAGGTTGGGAAGTGGGGGATCTGGCCTAGACTGAGCTAGGGTCCTATTTTGAAACACCCAAGGTATTTGCTGTGAGTCACGGTCATATAGCCTCACCTCACCTGTCCTGGTGCCACAATTATCAGGGTTATCGGGCCTCCTTGTGCCAGGAGGATGAACCCCAAACATCACACGCTCGGCCTCCCACTTAGACAACCCAAATTCTATTAGGTCCTCAACAAATAGGTATATGAGGTCTTCTGGTTCCTCGATGCCGAGCCTCCGTAGTTCTGGGAGGAGTCGCTGGACATCACGTTCCCAAAGGAACAGGTCTAGATCCCTGGGCAGCGTATCTCCAGAAGGCTGATTGCGTCGGGCTCCTTCAGAGAGGTCCCACGCCACCAACGGTGTATTCGCATCAGTTTGTTCATCTTCGGAAAGGGGGCCCTGTGTGTCAGGTGGAGCCGATTGGCTAGATGAACTTGGCTCTGCAGCGCTGGACTGCCTAAAGGCCCTTACTTGCGGTTCTATCTCAGGTGGCCTAATTGGTAGGGTAAACCCCCTATGGTTCAGCAGAGTCCTATCGTCCTCACCAAGCTTATGTACCCCTAATGGCGAATAACCCACGATCACCCAGTCCGGGTTCTTACGCACAGCGTGGTAGCGTCTTGGGTCAAAGGCTTGCACCTCGTGGACGATGCTCACAACATCCGCAGAATCCCAGCTAGGATTGGAGGGGTTGTCCTTTCCCTTTGGATCGCGTGGGGGTCCCTTCCACAACTCAACGGTGCCTGGGACACACAGAGCGAAATTGCGTGTCTCCCACTCATTCCTAAAGTCCCGATGTAGCGGTACATCAGAGGCATGCATGAGCAAGATTGCTGCCCAATCTGCAGCTACACCCTTATCCTTAATCCTAGACTTTAGGAAGTGATTGAGGAACAAAGTCAAATGAGGGTTCTGCTTGCACAAGGTGGTGACGCCTCTATTACCTCCGTGGCAGTAGGCACCTAACACGAACCTGCCCTCAAAATCACCTCTTCGATCTGACGTAGCAGACTCCGTCCCTTCAAGTGCGGCAAGGATCGTCCTGAACCTTTCATCCGAGAAGTCATTAGCCCGCAAACTGGCTTCCGCTAAGGCCTCAAAGTTATCCTTTCCATCAACAAACCTAACTGAAGTCTTTTCCCTCAGCCTCCTATCTGGGGTTATGGGTTCGATGACCTCCTCCTCCTCCTCAAGTGGCGCGCTCAACACGAGCTCTTCCTCCTCCTGAATTGGCGGTGGCAAGACTTCTTCTAGGTCCTTTGGATCTACAACTCCCTTACGGAAACCTTTAGATGCAACTAGATTACCCTCAGAGGTAATAAGTACATGTCCATCAGTGGTGGTAAGATGTGGTGCTCCATACACCGCCTTTACCCAACGAGTCAGGAGCTCCTTGTGTGCACCGGACGGCCTCTTAAGTTTATGAAGCACTGTCTGTCCAAAGGCAGGTAGTGGCTCTTGTTGTAAGACTGACCGGTTGTGGGACTCTGCAGCCCATCGCATGGCTAGGGGCCATAGCGACACATGAAGGGAGTTTGCCGAAATTAGTGTTCGGGCTCGCGCCTTAAACCAGCCTACTACTCGTTCAGCTAGCCCGTTTCCCTGTTTATCGGTGGGAATCGTCGTTTGTAGCTTCACCCCTTGTCCGGGGAGCCAGCGGGCTAGCACATCAGACGTGAACTCGGTACCTGGGTCACAATGGAGAACTCGAAGAGGAAACTGCTGGGTTATCCGGAGGATCATCTGCTGGATCCCTGCGGTCACATCTGCTCCGGTCTTAGATTTAAGGCCGACGAAAAACCGCAACGTTACCAACTCAACCTTAGATGTAACCCTCTGTATCTCCTCCTCAAGCTGTTCGTCGTCTATCCATTCATATTCCTCCTCTCTTACCTCACCATCATCTGGTGTCTCAATACCCGCGGACTCAGGATCACACGGCATATCAAGCTGGGTTGCTAGGGCCCTAGTCTCAACGGACTGTTGGTGACCTTCAAACCACTCCTTCGGCAGTTCTAGGTCGTGTAGTATACCTGGATCTACCGGCTCCCCAAGTTCAGTAGGTTCATATTCGCTGGGTGCTCCAGGTAGTTCCTTAAAGGGATCATCAACATCAAGTGCTCCTTCCTTAGTTGGTACAGTGAGTTTCTGAGCTATCATAGACTTGGGAATTCGATAGACCCCAACTAAACCAAACCTTAAGTGTGGGTTTCCAGAAACGGATTGCTCATCTCTACCCTTTTCCAAAGGAGGCATAGGTCCAAAGAGGTCTACTGAGAGGGTGAATGCCTGCGGATTCTTAATGCGTCGATGTTGCACCCCGAGGCCTGAGCCCTCTACACAAAACTGACAGTCGCGACGATAAGGAAGATGCCCTCTCACGATATGGGCTCTCCAAGCTTCGCGTTCTGCAGGTTTTAGTGCATTAACTTCGACCTCTTCCTCCTTATCTTCTTTGCAATTGTCGACGGCGGATACTGGTTCCTCAGCGTAGGGCTCGGCACCATCGGAGGAAGATGAAGCCGAACATTCTGAAGCTTCCGCGATCTTACTGCGACCCTCGGAGATTATTCTATCTAGTTCCTCAAGGGGTGGTCCCTTTACCCGTCCTTCTAACGCTTCAATCACCTCCTTTTTAAAACCCGTACACCAGGAATCGGCGTGAATAGCGGGCTCCGAGCGTGACGAGGGATTGGGGAGTCCCACATGAGGGAGTCCTTGCAGATGGGTCAGGCTTAAATTAGTCCCTATAACCGAAGGTCTCAACCACTCATGACCTAAGGATCCTTGACTGAATCCGATCTGATTGACCCGGGCCCAGTGTTGGAACTCCTTCCACACCTCAGTGGTCCAGAAGGTTTCTGGGACTAACTTCCCATGGCAGCTTGACGGGTTGGCCCCACTTGCCGACGGAATTTCCTTCAAGAAAGGAATGGCTTGGGTCCTAGCTACGGAGGATATAGACCATAATAGGAGATCCTGCACAGCGAGAAGGCTCTCACGCTGAATCACGGGGTCAGTCGACAGCGTTGCCCATGGATCCTCGAGGCTTCGACCCTCAGAGTTGGCTTGATAGGAGCTCCAAGTGCGGTATGGAGGAGTCGATAATACCACAGCTACTCTTCCTTGCAATGCCCATAGTAGCACCGACCACACCCCGGACTCTGAGCTGAGGTCCCAACCTCGACCCCCTGGCTCCTTTATATCTACACCCAAAAACTCTAACCCCTTTTGCTGTGCCCATAGCTTCAAGGGATCTCCCTCCTCAGTCTGTCCAGACCCAAGATAAACTAGCCAGTTCTTAGATGCATGCAATGCTCGGCGTCTGGCGCGGTTCAAAGGAAGCCGTTTGAGTATCTTCCAACCATCAGTGTCGGAAATACCCGGCAGACCTTCGCACAACTTAACCTTCACTGCCTCAGGTACCGGTCTTAAGTACGGCTGGGAAAATACTGCTCTGAGAAGTGCGCCCCTCTCTCCACTACTTAGGTACTTCCGAATAGCTTCAGAGGGCTCACTGGGGTTAGCTATTTGTTGAAGCTCAGCCTCCATAGCTTGCACGCTCTTCTCAAAGTCTTGCAGACGAGTGGTCTCTAGCTCAGCGATAAGCTTCAAAGCTTGATCTTCTTGCATATACGGGCAGGTGTTAGGGGAAACTCCTACCTTTAGCTGGCCCAGACGCGGGTGAGTAACTCTCAGGCCCTTCCGCTTACTCCACGACACCTTGCATCCTAAGGTTTGCACAAGTGCTCCAAAGGGAAGTATCGTCTGGGGCTTATCCTTACTTGAATCCTCAACGGAAGGTGGAAGCACGAGAGTACCACCATTCGTCTTAAACCACTCTTCTTTAGAATCCCCAGCTAAGGTAACACCTACCCGTTCAAGGTCACCTAGCTCCTTGGAGTAAGACACCACAGCATGTGTTGCCCCACTATCAAGCAAGGCCTTGACCTGTGCCTCAGGCTCATCCGGTGCCGTGGGTCCCTCTGGGAGCAAGCTTATCATCTTTACTTCATGCTCCTGAGTCATAGCACGCAAGGATTCAATTTGTGCATTGAGGGATTCCAACGTAACTGGAGTGCCCTGAGTCACCCCTGCAGCCCCTGCCTGACCTGGGGCTGGTGCGGTACTGATGGGAACTGCTTGCTGCACACTCTTAGGACTCGGTGCAGCCTGCTGTAGGATATGCGCAGCGTCTGCCAACATCGACTTGATTTGCTGTTGGGAAACCTCCTTGGAGGAGGGTGGCATAGCGGCGTTGGTAGGTTCACTGGCTGCGGTCTTAGGGTTAGCGGGGTTCTTAGGGTTTGCAGGCGGGGCCTTAGACTTAGCCTTATCCTCGGTCTTCACGCCAGCCCTACATTCTGCAGCACGGTGTCCCTTGCCTCCACAGTTTCGGCATCGCTGAGGTCGCTCTGCAGCGGGTATTGACAGCCAGTTATGGGTAAAGGTGCAATCGGCGCCCTTCTTACACCCTCCAGGTCCTAAGAAGAAGGAACACGGTGTGCCACTGGTGCTCGTGCCCTCCGTCCCATTGCCATATTTGGGACTGGCGCCACCCTTAGCGGCACCCTTCCCCCCTTTTGGGTTCTTTGGGCTGTCTTCGACACCTCTTACCTTTGCACTGCCTGCTGGATTGACCTCCTTTGGAGCCTTCTCTACATCCTTGGAACCCGTTCGGTGCACTATGGTTTCAATCTCTCCTAGCATTTGAGCGTGCAGCTGGGTGACCTTAAGATCATCGGGAGTAGTGTCGATCTGTAACGCGGCCCGAGTCAAATTGATACGGAAGGCCACATCTGGATTAGACTGTAACACTACCCTAGTGATCTTCTCTAACGCCTTCACTCTCAGAGCACTATCGGGTAGCGTACCCCCTAACTCCTTCATTCTATCACACCAGCGAGCCCATTTGCGCAGCAGGTCTACAGTGTCCTTAATATTTGACCCCGAACTAGGCTCCTGAATCTGCTTAAGTCCCAACTCCCGCTCATTCAACCCTCCAGGTGCGTAGATCACGTAGAGTCGGGCAACCACAGGAAGCAGTCCTGTGACTCTGGCGGCACTTATTTCATCCCTGACCGCGGCTGGGCAGGCGGCGATAATCATTGTTTCGATCCGGCGGGATACACGCGCCCACTTCACCTGAGTGATTTCCTCAGAAGGCACCGGCTTGGAGGTAAGTCTACTAACAGCATCCAACCGTAAATACTTCGAGTACCAGCTCTTCGCCTCTTGTACAACCAGCATCCACAGTTCTTCACTTGTATCCGAAATATCGCTCAACGCTGGTTTGCTGGCATGAAGCCAATCCGCAAATTGTAGACAGGACTCGGCTCCAACGGCTGGAAGTTCAGGGAGAGTATTTACCCCGGGTTTGATAACCTCCTGCCTCACTTGCTTCGGGCTGTTGGCTAGATCAGCTACCACACCCTGTAACTGGGCCATTCCAGTTAATACGACATTCATAGGGTCAGTGGGGCTACTCTCCGGCGCTCCAGTAGGAGGAGCTTCGAGCCTGGGCTCATACGACTCTGCAGGGCCAAAGTCCAATGCCCTTGCCGTGGGTACCTGAGCAGCTGTGATAGGGACTTGGATTGGCGTCGACTCCTTCGGGACCTCAGAACCTCGGTGATTATATAGAGTTCGAAATCCAGGCTCCGGTGGCCCTTCAGGAACTTGGCTCAGAACAGCTGGTCCTGATGGAGATTGGGAAAGTCCAACGGTCCGACTGTGAGTCGGCGGTGGTGGTGGTGGGCGTAAATCCAAGAGCCCCTTTGGAGGAGAGACTGGTTTTGGTGACGACACACCACTCAGAAGATTCCCAACACCCCTACCTATCCACTCTAACCCCGAAAACCTCCCAGGTCCCACAGGTCGCGAGGCAGGATCGTTATTATACATTTGATTCGACATTTCCTGCCTTAGCGTCCGATTCTCGGACATCAACAGATCTACTCTCGTCCGTAACTCCCTATTCTCTTCATCACGTTGCACCATGAATTCACGTACTTGTCGTCTCACCTCAGCCTGTATGTCACTTGACGTAGTGGAAGGTGGCTTAACTCCAGATGACGGGGCTTCTGGCTGATACAGATGGGGTGTTGCTGCCTGCATCCCATTAAGGCGTTGAAGAGTGTGCTCGTCAAGGAGTGGCGTCGATGCCTGAGGGGCTTCTGGGGGTGGTCTTGTAGCACCCTCCGGACTTCCAGATTGTGCTGATACAAAGCCGCCAGTACTGCCCGCATTGCCAGCTTGCGTCGAGAGATCTGGAGCCGGATGTCCCAGCACCAGTCCCTCAACCGCCGCCGGGATCGCTTGCACTGCCTTGGCTACACCTCCCAGGAAAGATCCCGGAGTTCTTCCGGCATGATCAGTCCCATCTGCTGATGCACTCTTCGCCCCTGTCCGTGGTCCCAGAAGAAAGCCTCTTGCCGAAGAAGACGAAATCGTGGCTCTGGACGAAGATGGAAGCTCGGTCTCAGCCGAGCCCAGGGTTGCCTCAACTGGCATTGGGGGGGTCGTCACGACTCCTCCATCCCTTAACCCAGGTTCCTGTGTCGCGGCAGCCACTGTTTCACCATCCATGTCTTGCGACCCTTGCGGAGGTGGAATAAAGGTGCCGTTAGGAGCTAGGCCTCGATGTCGTCGATCATCTCGCGAAGTCTGAGCACCGCTTGGGCTCATAACCTGTTGAGCCTCCGGATCAAAAGAG